ACACCCTCCCCCCGCTTCCCTGGGGAGCAGCCGGGATCGCGCTCTCCGCGGCATCCCGGAGTCAGGGGGGCAGCTGGGATGGCGCTGCCCCCACATCCCAGCACTGGGGGGGGGCAGCCGGAAGAGATCCCCCCCTCCCTGTGTCCCGTCCTCAGGGGGACAGCCAGGACTGTGCATCCTCCTGCATCCCAGAATAGAGGATGGACCTGGACCACGCTCCCCTCTGCATCCCAGAACCTCCTGGGACAGCCTGGCCCAGGCTCCCTCCCCACATCCCAGAATGGAGGGAGCAGCCAGGACTGCACAGCCCACTGCATCCCTGGGGAAGCAGCTGGGACCTCGTTCCCCCACCCTATCCTGCATCCCCTCAGGACAGGGAAGCTCATTTGTTCCCAGCCAGGTCGTGGAACCCTCTGCAGTGGGTCAGGCAGCAATCCCAGACTCTGCATCCCAGGACTGCTTCCTGCAGGGAGAGGATGCAGAGGATGGGCAGCAAGACAGCTCCCAACAGCCACAGCACCCCTGGAGCACAGAGGCCACCCCTTGCTCCTCCGGGCCCTGCCGAGGGCCAGTGATGGCACAGATGGGGCTGGCAGGACCTGCCCCAGCCCTGCTCAGGCCCCCAGCCCTGGCCTGGTGGCAGGGTGGCTCCCAGAGCTGGGCACAGAGGCACTGGGACTGCAGATTCCAGCCCTACAGCAATGGCACCATGCCCTGATCCATGGCACTGCCCTAATTCTGCCTGTCAGAGCTGCTGGGCCCAGGGTGGGACTCTGCCTGCACCCACCTCGGGCTCAGAGCCCTCAGGGACCTTCCATCCTCCCCACTGAGCTGGTGGGGGCAGACAGGGGAAGGAAAAGCTGGAGGCTGCCCTTGATCCTGTAATCCCCCCATTAGGGAATTAGGGGCTGGGGAGGGGGTGGCTTTCACTGCATGCTCTGCCTCCTGCATTCCCCACAGTGGTGGGCAAGCCCCTCCCTCCCTGCCAGCCCACAGCAGGACCCCTGTACCCCCAAAATTGTCCCCTCTCCAAGGCCACTGTCCCCAGCCATTCCCCTGCTCCATGGAAATCAGGGATCCACTGGGGCAGCTCTACCCCCACTGCCCTCCTACCTCTCAGGAGCCCCCTGAGAGCTGAAAAACAGCTCTGGAAGCCCATGAGCAACTGGGGAGCTCTTGGGAGAGTCCTCCCCAGGCCCTCCCAGCAGGCTGAGCACCCCCAGCCAGTTTGGAGTCCAAGTATTCCCTTCTCCCTTGCATGGCACGAGGCACAGGGTGATGCTGGAATGGCTCCCAGCTCAAAGACACAGAGCTGGGGGTAGGTTTGGGGTGGAAAAGATCCCTTTGACCAGCAGTGTTTCCCGTGGAAGCACCTGGACAGAGCTCAGGGGTGGGTGGCGAGGGTGGGAGGGAGCCCAGAGTCACATGGAGCCAGTGGTTCCCTCATCCACAGCTGGGCCCTGGCACCACCGTGCCAGCCCCACTGCCACCCCTGGAGCACAAGGGCCACCAGTTGGCCACGGCTGTGGCTGCAGGGTCAGAGCACGGGGCTGACTCAAGGACACCTTGTCTCTCTGCTCCCAGATTAGACTGGATAATCCCAGTGCTTTGCTCCAGCCCCCGGCCCGCCTCGGGATCTTTGCTCTCGCCGGGTTTATGGCCGTCTGGGCACACAGGGAAACCTCCGGCAGCCAGATAGGGACGGGCTCAAAGATCCCGCCTGGAACACCCTCAGCCGGCAGCCCCCGGAGCGGCACAGCCCGCAGCTCAGCCTGTCTAGACACCACATCATCCCCCACCACTGCAGGCAGGGAGGGGGAAGAGGGAATGGGAGACAACCCCCCGGGATGAGGCAGGAGCAACCCCTCGGGCTGGATCCTCCCTGAGTTACGCTGGGCTCAGCCAGCACAGCCTGCTCTGTGCTCTGCTCCGGGCAGGGAGTGCCCCGGGGACCCTCAACGTCACCCACCCCCTCGCAGAGCTGCAGGGCCCTGCAGAAAGCCCCCCTGGGCTCCAGGGATGTTCCCCCGAGGGATGACGCGGGGTGGAGGGGCCGGCTGGTTCGCCCACACCACCCTGGAGCTCCCAGAGCCCTCAGAGGAGAGTTTTGCATCCGGAATGGGAACTTGGCATGGGAGTGTGTGCAGGGACAGGGTGGGATTCACCCGCCCCAGCAGCCCCAGGGGTAGGACAGACCCTAAAGCTGGGTCTGGGCCCTGCTAATCCCAGCAAAGCCCAGCCCAGGTAATCCCTGCACAGAGCAGCCTCCTCCCGGGGTGCAAAGGTGCTTGGGAGCAGCAGGCAGAGGCTTCTCCTCCCCCAGCCCCTCCCCACTTACTTGATAAAGTAGAGGCCCCCGTGCATCGTGGTGTCCACCTCCCAGCCTCGGGGCAGCCCTGCAAGGACAGGGCAGAGCCAGGGGTCACCCTCCCTCGCCCCACACAGCCCCTGCCCTCCCATTGCGTTTCTGGAGGGTTTCACTGCACACCTCCAGCTCCTGGTCACCCCAGGGCCCAGGAGCATCCCTTACCAGCACAGGAGAAGTGCCCACTCTGGATGGCGTAGCCCGTGCTGGGGTGCACCCAGCTCGTGGACTTGGTGTCGTCGCTGTGGGAGGGAAGGAGAGGGGCAGTCAGGAGCCCCCTCCCATCACCAGGAAAGGGCCTCGGCAGCACGAGTGACTTTTCCAGCCAAAGGAACACAAGGACTGGATTTTAGGGCCGGAGAGAAGCAGAACCCACCAGGGTGGGACAGCCCCAAAACCAGAGGAGTGGGGTGGGAAGCAGAGGCCACCGTGCCACAGGAAAGCAGCCCCATGCAGGGCTCTGCAGAGGGAGGGACCCCTTGTTCCCACCCCAAACTCAGCCCTGAGCCGCCTGCAGCCCCCCAGCCACTCACCCCGCTCCCCACAGCCCCAAAATGTGACCCCATGCCCATGGCAGCCCCAGCCCAGCCCAGCCCAGCCCAGCCCAGCCCAGCCGGTGCCAGGCGGGACGTACTCGATGAAGAAGACGCGCCCGTCCCCGCACACGCCGTAGGTCCACCTGCCCGGCAGGTCCAGCCAGTCGATGTCATCCCCCATGGGGGTGGCACTGGGGGGCTCGGGAGCAGGGCAGCTCCGGGCTGGGCCCGCGCCCGGCTCGGGAAGCGCCGAGCGACTCCCAGCCTGCCTCCCCAGGAGCAAACACTTGCTGGGCTCAGACCTTCCACCCAGACTCTGTTTGCTGCAAATAACCCGGGAGGGAGGGAAAAGGGAAGAAAAAAAAAAAATTCCCGACCAGCCCCATGGAGTTTAACCCCCTCGGAGCCGGGCTGCCACCCTGCCTGCAAGGAGCAGAGGGCACCCTCCCAGCTCTCCTGATGACTCTTCAGGGCCGGCCCCGTCACAGCTTCCTCCACTGCCTACTCGGGGTAATTACCATCAATTAACTCAAGGTGAGTAATTATGGAGTTGTTACTTCCCTCTCCTGTTCATTTTAAACAATGTCAGATTCTTCTGCCCGTCTGATCTCGCAGCCAAGCCGTATGTAGGGCACCCTGATGATTATCTGCGGCACTCCTGGAGCTGCCCAGTGGGTATTTTCTCTCTGCCTGTTCTTAGCCGTCAATTAAATGCCTTTCAAGGGGAAAGGTGGGGTCTGGGAGGCACTGAAGGAAGCAATTGCCCTCCTGTCTCAGCGGCGCCTCAGCAAAGCTTCTCATGGCACAAGGAGGAAGGTGCTGCTTCAGGAGGGGCCTGAGAGTGAAAACGAAGGAGCTGGTTCCCAAAGCAGGGAGGAATCTTGGAATCATAAAGGTTGGAAGGGACCTCCAAGGTCAAGTTCAAGCTTTGGCCAAGCACCAGCACGGGCACCAAAACCACACCGTGGAGGAGGAAGGGGCTGGTCCTGCTGAGCTGCAGCTCAGTCCCCACATCAGAGCAGTTCCCTGCTGGGATTTGGGGAAACCAGTTCCCCGAAAGCTTTTCCCGTAGATTCTTTGAAGCACCGGGTGAGAAAAACACGTCTGGTTGGTCCCAGGGAGCCCATTGGGAGAGCACCCCACGGGACCCTGGCGATGCCACAGCGCTGGGCCTTGGCTCACCTGGAGAAGCTCCTTTCCATGGGGACAGGCTCGGCTGCAGTCCACGGGCCAAGCTGCCACCCTGCCCACGGAGGGCGGGCACGCGCTCAGATCCCCACACCTGCAGGCTCGGAGCATGGCTCGCCAGGATCACTTTGGAAGGTGGGTTGGGCTGAGCGGGGCTGGCCCCGGTCCAGGGTGACACCAGGGAGCCACCACCCTTATCTTGTGACCATCCCTGAACCTGCTGCAGAGCAAACCTCAACCACCGCCCCACTAACGCCCGGCCACGGGAGCTCCCGATGCGCCCCGAGATTGGGGAGGTCACGGCTCTGCTTCCACCCCTCCCCTGCTCCGCTGGGCCACGCTCCAGAGCCAACCCACAGCCCAGGAATCCCGTGGGCAAGCCTCGGGAGCACACCAGCAGCTCCCCGTGGTGCTGCTTCATCCCGGGGCAGCGCCAAAGCTGTGGGAAGATGCGCCACTCATCGACACAGCACACTGCACCGCGGCCCTGGAGGAGGCTCCAGAGCCAGCCCTGGCTGGAGATGGTTTGTGGCACCTGTGGGCTCAGGGCAGAAGTGGTTTTATGAAGTCAGACACAGCAAGAGGCTGTTCCTGAGCTGCCCTAATCCTATTTCGGTGCTGGGGAGGCTCTGTGGGGATAACCTCGGAGCTCCCGGGATATGGCACTGCAGGGATCACCACGGAGCTCCTGGGAACAGAGGCTCCTCCTGCCCCTGCAGTAGCTCAGGGTTGGGGTTTTCTTCATAGAATCACAGAATCTCCTGTTGGAAGGGACACACAAGGATCACAGTCCAACCCCTGGCCCTGCACAGACACCCCAAAACCCCACCCTATCCCCGAGAGCGTTGTCCAAACCCTCCTGGAGCTCTGGCAGCCTTGGGGCCGTGCCCAAACCCTGGGGAGCCTGTTCAGCACCCTCTGGGGGAAGAACCTTCTCCAGATCCGAATATTTTGTCCCTGTAGTGCTGCGTCAGGAGCTCCCTGTGCCTGGTCCTCACCTTCCAGCCCAGGGCTAATCCTCTCCAGTCACCCAGAGTATCCTCACAGGTACCTCCAGGGAATGCGGGATCAGGGGCCATTCCAGGTAAGTTCCTCTGATCCCAAAAGATTTCCTTCCTTCTCTAGCAACCCCCAGGGAGGGATGCATTTCCCTGGCCGTGCATATTCCCAGAGTCCCCCTCACTTCTCCATGGGAATTACTGGGAATGGACTCATCAGACTCATTGGGAAGGAGAAGGAGTGATTCACACTGAGGTTCTTGGAGGGCTTTGTAGGACCTTCAGCCAACAACCCCGAGCAGCTCCAGGCTCTCTCCTGCCAGGTAAATAAATCAGCTTTTATTGCTTTCCACGAGGGAATTTTTTCCCCCCCTATTTCCTTCTATCTTAATCCAATGGAAATTCAAAGGGGAAATACCAGCGGGGCTTTTTGTTTTCCTTTGGTTTAAAGTCCTTTTAAAAGCTCCCTGTTCACAACCACCCAGGTTAGGGAGGAAAAGGGACAGCAAGAGGCACTCACTGAGGCTTTGCCTTGCAAAACCACCCGGATTCCCTGTTCCTGAAGATTCCAGGGAGGCTCCCACAGGTCTGGGCACCACCACCACCATCACCTCTCCCTGTGCACCATGTCCTTCCTTTAGTAGGGATAGGGGGGAATCCCAGGATGGTTTGGGTTGGGAAGGGACCTTAAAGATCATCTCATTCCACCCCCTGCCATGGGCAGGGACACCTTCCAGTGGAGCAGGTTGCTCCAAGCCCCGTCCAGCCTGGCCTTGGACACAGACGCTGGTTTGGGCAGGGTTTTGCTCCCGAAGTTCCAGGAGCAGCCACCTCCTCCTCCATCCACAGAGCGCCGAGCCTTTGCCCGGGGCCACGGCAGAGAACAAAGGGCAGAGGGAGGGAAACACGCGGACAAAGGGGCCGTGTGGGGTGACAGGGCACGGCTGTGACCCGGCTGCGGGCAGGGAGGACAGGCGGTGACCTCCCCGCCGGGGCAGCACACCCGGCCCGGGCCGCTTCCCGGCGGAGCCCTCCGGCTCAGACAGCAGGAATGTGGCAGAACCGGGCGCTTCTGCGCACGGAGGGAGGGTTTGTGGCGCTCGGCCTGGATTCGCCCATCCCAGCGCTCATCCAGGGCGAGGCGGACGAGCACCTGCGGCTGGGAGGGGTGGGAGGGACGGGGGGACAGCCGGGGACACCCTCGGCGGGGTGGTGGCCCCGGCAGCGCCGCTGGCTGCGCGTCCCCTCTGCCGCACGGTTCTGGCACCATCTCCTGGCCGAACGCGTCCCAGGAAAAACCGGGAATGCAGCTGCGGGGAGGGGGAAAGGTGCCTCAGCCGAGCCCAGAGGATGCCCCCTGAGATGTGCGTTGTCCCCATCACCGTCACAGAATCAGGGAATGGGGTGGGAGGGACATTAAAGCTCACCCAGTGCCACCCCCTGCCATGGGCAGGGACACCTCCCACCAGCCCAGGAACTCCAAGCCCTGGTTTCCAGAGCTGCCAGAATCCGGAGAGATGCCAGAGGAACACCCTCCCTGGCCCAGGAGCTGGAATCTTTTTAACCTGGCCCTGCTCCCTCCCTTTGCCAGAACCTCGTTTCACCTCAGACCTGGCCCAAATTACCTCAGGAACACGGAAGAGCCCAGACAGAGATGTGGGGAGCATGACAAGGAATGGGAAGAGCTGCTGAATCCAAATGTCCCGCTGGGCCTTTGTTTCTTCCCAGCACAAAGGCCTTTCTCTTCCCAGAGACCTGGGCCTGGATCCCAGGATCCCAATGTCCTGGCTGCTGGCACCAAGGGCTGTGCTTTGCATGCAGAAAGGGCACAGTTGGCACCGCTTTTCCATTCATGATGAGGTGCCTTTTCCCTTGGGATGGGGAAGGAAGCAGGCTGGTGCTTCCCACTTTCTCATACTGGGCTCACACACGCTGCTTCCACCACCCATATCCCACAGACCCATCCAGCATCAGAGCCCTGTTTTCCCAACAGGACCTTTCCTGGCTCTGGAGCATCAGTGGCAGGTGCCTTCCCTACACAGGTGTTTAAGCTTGGCTTCAGGTGCAACTCCAGGTGTATCCAGCAGGAATTTACCCCCAACAGCTTCCCTGCACTTCCACTTTGTCCTGGGATCAGTGAACTGTGCTGAGAAAAACCTCCTCTGGCACAGCTGCTGGGACATTCCGAGCCCATCCTCCCGGAGCCAGCTGCTCCACATGGCACATTCCCACAGCCAGGGATTTGGCTGGATTAAAGAAAGTAGGTTTAGACAGGATATTAGGAAGCAACTCCTCCCTGTGAGGGGGTGAGGGGCTGGAATGGATTTCCCAGAGGAAAGCCGTGGCTGCCCCATCCCTGGAAGGGCAGGGAAGACAGCTCAAGCCATCCCAAAAATCTGACAAGGACGGAAAGCAACGCCCCTCCAAGGGGCAGGGCAGCCGGGGTTTTATCGCAGCATTCCCCAGGGAGCAGATGGATGCTGCTCATGGCTCTGACACACCCAGGCACCTCCACTCCCAGCTGGGAGGGTACAAAGCCCACCTGTGGCTGCCAGCCTGGTCCACGCAGCACCTCCAGCCTCCTCCTTCCTGCCAGGAATTCTGGCTTCCCTCTCCGAGGAGCCAAAGGGATGGCATTCCCTCTAAAAAACACGGAGTGACAGACCCACCTTTACACAACAATCCATCAAATCCCTGGTTTTTCCAGCCACCTGATGTCCCCCACAAGTCTTTCCAAAGCAACCCAACTATCTTGCAAATATCTTTATTACAATTTACAGATTAGTTCTGAATAGTTTATTATGTACAGAAATAGAACTTTAGATATAAAAACCCAACAAACTCGACACAAATCAAGTAAAATCTGTATAAAGCCAATGCTTGAAGGTTTTTCTAAGTTTTTCTCTAAATTATACAAAAATAAAATCTGCTCATCACAGTTTTGATTTAAAGTCCTACAAGTGTTATTTTTACTGTCTCACCCCAAGCACTGACACATGGACACGGCCTGAACAACCAGTTCAAGGGATCTGATAGGGAAGAAAGGGTGACACCAAGTTCCCAAGATGTTCATGGTGATGAATTTACTGTTAATTCCCTCTCACCTCCCACCAGATACCTGGAAAACGTGAGGCTGGAGCGGGGGAAAAGCTCACCTGAGCAGGTGGGAAGCAGCAGTGGGAGTGCTGGACACACTTCAGGATGGATAAAAGCCATTTTTCCAACGTTTAAGCGCTTTGAAAGCGGCATTTGCTGATCTAATTTACACATAATTTATCAGCTCTGTTTGTTCCCAGCGACAGGTTTTTCCAAGCCTCTGCAAACATTTCCAGGTGTTCATTCCCACTCCTCCCAAGCACCATTGAAATGAGCTGTCCATGAAAAACCAAAGCACCAAGTTCTCCAAGACCAAAGAAACTGGGAAATTCATGGAAAAACGACTGTAGTGTGACCTCCCAGGAGCAGCAGATTTGTACTGATCGGTCACACTGACCAGAAATCAGCAAATCTTCTCTTCTGATTCCACATTTATCACCCCCTTTTCCCTAAGCTAAAGAGCAGATCCAATATGAGACAGCAAAACCAGCTCCCAGAAATTCAGAGACAATTTCTCAGGATGTGAGGGCCTGATTGGAATTTACAATTTCACAACTGCAATTTTTGTAGGAAAAGAGAATCCAATCTTTGGGGGTGGGGTGGAAAACAACGCTGCTGCATTGATTTCATGCAGCCACTCTGAAATGCTGCAGGAATTCTGGCTGGATGTGAAGCTTACACAACTCTACTGCAATCCAGTGAATCCTCTGAATTTTTGTAAGTGCAACACAGCAAATCAGTTTTTAAAAACCTCACAGAACACACTTTGGGTGAGGAGATCAAAGTGTGAGTCCAACAACTCTGGAATTTTGGAGTCAGAATTAAGACGTGGCCAAAATGTAAAGCAGAAAATGAAGTCCTGCAAATTGAAAACTGAAACAATTCATGACAAATTTGAAGTACTTTCAGCTTTCTCCCCTACAAAAGGGAAATGGGTGACCTCACAGCTGCTCAGGCAACAGCCTCACCCCAACCCCCAGGCCCAAACACCCCCCTCCAAGGGTGCTGCTCTGTGTTTTAACTGAATTGAGTAAATATTTGAAGTTAGGAAGTGCTGTCCTTCCACCAAGGACCTCAGCTCTCCATAGGTAGAATGTTATTTGTACCAGGTGACCCAGTGCAGACACACACAGAGTGTTAATACTGGCTTTTGGTAAAGAACACGGTGATTTGCTGCCTTAACATTCCCTTAAATCAGAGATAATTCTCCTTAAAAGTACCAGAACAAGCAGACTGGATACAAGAATCCACCACAATCTCTATTCCAAAGCAGAATTATAGCAAAGTTATTCTTAGATTAAATAAATAATTAGGGACTAGTTCCCTTGCGTGGCTCCCTAAGTTCAAACATCACCCACAGCCTCCACATGTGCTCGAAGCTTTAATTATTGATTGGGATGAGAAATTTCCTCGCCCTAAAAGGCAAGAAATTCGGTGCACAAGCAGACAGAACCCTTTGGAACAGTCCTGGCTCCAAAGGTATTGTTTAAACAAGTCAAACCAAAGGGCCTGCAGTGCACCAGAGCTCCCCCAGGGTGCCTGACTGGAACACTGACATCCAAATGCTACAAAACCACTCAAACACTGCATTCCATGCAAAACTGGCATCTAGGGGGAGGGATTCACACAGTTAAGCCAAAGTTATCAGAGAACAACATGGGAGACTTTTGCACAAGCTGGAGAACAACAGGGAAACGCCACAACTCCCAGGCAACTTTAAATCAAAACTGCAATACCAGGGGCTGAGCCCCATAAATATCTCCTTCAAAATAGGTTTTGCTTTTTTTCAAAGTGCAAAAAAATCCAACTGAACAGTCACCACTTCCCAACAGACGGCAGACAAGGCATTTTTGGAATGCGTTCAACCTCAAGCAGTCTGTTTCTCAGCGTTAATCAAAAGGAATGCAACCGGAGCACCCTCACCCTGCAGGGCACCGGGGGGACTCTGTGGGGACAGCAGAGTGGGACACACAGGGATATTTGTTGGCTCAACACACCAAACTGGGAAACTTCCAATCCCACTTCTCTCCCCACTCCAGAACAGCACGTGCAGCTGCCACGTCTCGTTTAGGTGTCTGTGAGTGTTTTAGGGTCACACGACTACCAGGTGGTGTGAGGGGCTAGAAGAGATCAACCCCCTGGGAGGAGATTTCCTGGAGCCTGTGGAACACTCTCTGCCTGTGCTCTGTGGTGAAGCAATATCCTATGGCTTCCTCTGTTTCCTGGATCCGCTTCTGGAACCTGCAGCCATCTCGTGCCATCTCCTCCCAGGGTCCTTTCCGATCCTCCTCGCTGCTTATGTAATACTCAGTCACTTTTTCAAGGAAGGTGACCTGGAAAGAGCAAGAATTTAGTCAAGAATTCACCACTCGTGCAAAAGGAACTTCATATTTGTACACAGATTGTTTTGGGTTTTATTAAACACTTCAAATAGCAGAAAACCTCAGAAACCTGTTCAGAGGGTAGGTTTAGGTGGGATACTGGGAAGGATCCCCCTCATCCCTGTGAGGGGGATGAGGGACTGGAGGATTTCCCAGAGAAGCTGTGGCTGCCCCATCCCTGGAAGTGTCCAAGGCCAGGTTGGACGGGGCTTGGAGCAGCCTGGGCTCATGGAAGGTGTCCCTGCCCGTGGCAGGGGGTGGAACAAGATGAGCTTTAAGGTCCCTTCCCACCCTCTTGACACGGGGCTGTCACCTCAGCCAGGGCACGCAGGTCACGCCAGGACGTGCCAGGACACCCAAGGCTGTGAATGTGCTCCAGCCTGGATTGCTGGAGATTACACAAGAACATTTAAAAAAAGCAGAACCATTGATGTGTGGAGTAAAGAGTCAGCGTGTGAGTCACCACCGGGAAAAGGAATCACACTGGGCACAGATAAGGAACAACACTCATCCTCGTGTGACTGGGACAAACCCCCTGCTTCCAGCGGCTCTGGAATTCCAGGGTGTTAGTTCATACAGGGAAATCAGCTCACAACTCATGGCACCTTAAAAGACACAGGAAAACTTGGCTCTTTTTAAGAGGCATTCAGCTATGTTAAGAAAATAAACTTATAGAGTCAGGCTCTACACTTGGCAGCGTTTAAACTATGGCTTTAACAGGGATTGAAGTCTTTCTGAGTAAACCCAGCCTGTGTCAGGCTCCTGCTGAACTCTGGGCTGCTCTGCATTATGGAAAGGTGCAAAACCGAAGTGTCCCTCACAGCGTGTCCACCCTGCTCCCTCGTGAGTGAAACAACCACTCCCGGGTTTTATAGACACGAATCCTGCACGGTGCCAGGCAGGAACAGCCTTGAGCTGGATGAACGGCCGGGAGAATTCCCGGGAACACCTCAGCACGGGGCTCGGTTTTCCTGGCCCTAATTAAGCACCTGCTTCAGGAGCTGTTACATCAGCCTTCCCACCTTACAGCGTTTTTACATCAGGCTGAGCCACCCTGGGGCACAACTCCCCGGGCTGTGACGTCAGTGGAGTATTGCAGCCACATCATCCTTCCTTCACCACAGCCTGGGATTGCAGGACCAAGAATTCCTGCTGGCTCTGCATCCCCAGGACACAGCGAGCCCTGGGCAGGGCCCAGTGCTACCTCACAGTGTTATGAACCCAAATTTGGGGAGAAAACAAAGGTCTCTGCTGCAAAAGCACTAAACCAAGAATTATACAGGTTTTCTACTTCGATGACTTGTTACCACAAGCCATTGCTTATATAAATGTTTGAGGTATCAAGACTCAGACATCACCCCTGAAAAACCACCCTGGACATCTGTAGCACCACAAAACTGGGGAGAGGATGAATTACTATTTCCCTGCATCCTGCCACAGGTATTACAGGATTTTTAACACCCAAATTCCTCCAAAAAGCACACTGTATTTCCAGTTTGGGCTCAGAAGTCCAGTTCCTGAATATATCCCTTTACAAATAACTGAATTATAACACAGAATACTCTCTCAAATGGAAATGGGAATATTACTACAATTTCTACTGGTACTTCAGTGGTGAACTGAAGCATGTGTTAACCATATCTCAGCACACATCAACGCCCCTCAGCACACGTGTGGCACACGCGTGACACACCCAGCACACGCGTGACACACCCAGCACACGTGTGGCACGAGCTCTTCCTACTCCAGAACACGTAACAAGCCTGCTCGGGTTACGAAAAAAAAAAAAAAGCCCTAAAATGTTTAAAACGCTTTCAGTTTAAGTTCCTAAATCACTTTATCAAAATTCCTCCCAACAGAAAGCGGTGCTTTCCAGGAAAAGACATCACAGCTCTGGAGTTTCTTCAGGGAAAAAACTGGCATCGCAGCGCTGGAGTTTCTCTGATGACGACACCACGTCACACCCCAGACAGAAAAGAGAAATTGCGTTTTAAAATGAAAATTAAACTTCAAGTCTACAAAGGAAACTTGTGACAGAATTTCCCATCACGTGTCGGGGATGAGGCACAACATTCCAGGGAAATAATTAGCACGTAAGCTCGCAGATCTGGAATGCCGGAGTGACCTCACCCACTCCCCCACACTGCTCGGAGCAATGTGGGTTTGTTGTGAGTTTTTATTTAGCAGCCTCGAAACACACGAACATAAAGCAGGAATATACCTTTTTCCGCTTGGAATTGGCGGCTTTCTCCCCGGACAGAATTCCACGCTGCCCCAGGTCACCAAGCCCACAGCTGTGTCCCTCCAGCTGTACCCGGCACACGGTGAAGTGCTCGGCAGGGACCGAACTCGGCGGCCCTTTTTTCTCTGTCTGAAAGGCTGCCGTGAAATTTAGAGGGTTGTAAGGATCGTCCGAGGTGCAGAACGAGTTCCAAAGTTTCAAGCTTTCCGCCTCATCCACGCTGCCACAGTCCCACTCGTCCTCCTCTTCAGAACTATGAGCAGAGCCTGAGGAGGACTCTGCCCATGAGTCTTCTTCCTCCTCCTCCTCCTCTTCTTCCTCCTCTTCCACATCCGACATATCCCTTCCCGGATCGCTGGAAGATGTCTGAATGGTGGCTGTGAAGTTCTGAGGGTCGTAGGGATCCAAGCTATAGAAGGAATTCCAGAGGTGAAGCCTCTCCCCGTCCTGGCTGCCAGCGTCTGATTCCGAGGGAAGCTCTTCGCTGTCGAACCCGTCATCGTCATCATCATCATCATCATCCCAGTCCTCCTCACCCTCACTCTCCTCCCCGCTGAAAACTCCCCCGATGATATAATCGATTAATTTATTCGCACACGCAGGTCTGGTCGAAACCGGGAGGTTTTGCTCTGTGTCCGAGTCCTCACCATCCCCTTCGGGCAACGCTTCCTCCACCTCAGCCGCATCCCGGAGCCCCTCCTGCTCCACGGGCTGTCTCCCTGCGTCCTGGGGCTGCTCCAGCTGCCCGGCACCGCCCCGCTGGTCCCGGCGAACATCCCTGTGCTGCTGCTCCTCCTCCAGGCTGTGGTAGCCGTGGTCGGGGTCGGGCACGGGCAGGTGCCAGCGCTGGAGGAACGCCAGGCGCTTGCTGCGGAGGAACTCGGCCTCGGGCAGGGGCTCGGCCCGCAGCGGCTGCGGCAGGTGGCTCTTGCTCTGCTCCGTGCCCAGCACGAACCAGTCCACGGGGAGGGCGCTCCGCACCAGCCCGGCCCCCCACAGCCCCGCCGGGGGCTTCTCCGGGGGCTCCTCGGCCCAGCCCGGCGCGGGCTCCGCCTGGGGCAGCAGCACGAGCGGCGGCGGCGCCTCGGCGGGGCAGAGCGCGGTGCTGAGCGCGGGGCCGGGCAGCAGCCGCTGCAGCAGCGCGGGCAGCGGCGACAGCAGCTGCGACAGCACCCTCAGCCACGAGAAGGGCGGGCTCGCCTGGGACGAGCCGCCCGCGGGCGCCGCGCCGGGCCCCGCCAGCTTCGGCCAGGCCGCGGCCAGGCCCAGCCGGGCCCAGCCGGCGCGTTCGCGTCCGCTGTGCTCCATGGAGCCGTTCAGCGCTGCCAGCGGTGCGGAGGGGTGTGCGAGACGGCGCTCCGTGGTGGCGCGGCGGGTCTGAGGGCTCTTCGGGCGACGGGCGGCTCCGGGTCGGGTCTGGGCTCCATCCTGAGGCGGCTTCGGGCACAAAATGGCGGAGCCGCCGCCTCGGCGCTCACGGCACACCGGGGACGGGGGGCGGGGCCAGCACCTGCCACGCCCTCCCCGCGCCGCCGCCGCCCATTGGGCGGTGTCGCTGCCAGCCCGCCCACCCCCAGCGTGGCCACGCCCCCAGGATTGCATCAGCCGGCGGGTCCCGCGTGGCAGCGCCCCTGGCGGCGGAGCTTGGAATTGCAGCGGGGGCGCCCCGAGCGCTCCCCCCCCAAATCCGGGAATTTGGGGGGTCCCTGGGGGGGACAGGGGACATTCCTGGGACAGGGGACATTCCTGGGACAGGGGACATTCCTGGGACAGCAGCCGGACGGGAAGGGTCCCTGGGCTACCCGGAGACTGGGCAAGACACATGTCCCCAGACCTTGCAGAGGGTAGAGGTGGGGATAGATGGGCGGGCAGAGGTGGAGATAGATGCGCGGGCAGAGGGGCAAGCAGATGTGCAGAGGTGCAGGTGGATTTGCAGGCAGATGTGCAGGCAGAAGTACAAATAGATGTGCAGAGAGATGTGCAGACAGAGGTGTGGGCAGAGGTGCGGGTAGAAGGTCAGGTAGAAGTGCAGAGGTGCAAACAGATGTGTGGGCAGATAGGCAAGCAGGGTTCAGGTAAATTAGCAGGCAAATGTGCACGCAGATGTGCAGAGGTGCAGGCAGAAGTGAGGGCAGAAGGGCAGGTGGATGTGCAGGCAGAGGTGCAGGTAAAGGTGCAGGCAGAGGTGCAGGCATCATCCACATGTTGCCCTGTGCCTTTCATCTGTAATTTCCCACTATTGTTCCAGGCAGGAGGGTCCCAACACAAGAGGGTCCCAACACAAGAGGGTCCCAGCTCTCCCAGCCCCAGCAGCTTCCCCAGCCCCTCTGCCGGCAAAACCAGCCCCCCCCTGCCCCCAGCCCTGGCCCAACTGCCACCAGATCCAATATTTAAAACTTTTAATATAAAGGTTAAGTTCATTATTCTCGATCCTGAGAAACATTTCGTCCGTTTACGGAGCTGTCGCTGTAAACAAAGCACCACAGGCACCAAGCCCGCACCCGGGGCCGGGTGGCAGGCGAGGAGATGGATGTCCCCACGGCACAGGGACAGGGAGGGGGGCCGGCTGTCCCCTTCCCGTGGCATCAGGAGGGGGGTCAGCCCCACGGAACGGGCACCCCGCCACACCGCTCTCCTTTGGGAGCGAATTCCCCAGGGTGGGAATTGCCCGGCTCCGGGCAGGCTGGGGCTGGACCTGGAGGGGATACAACACCCCCTCCCCAGCCCACAGCAAACCCCTGCACCGCCTCCCTCTCCCCTCCGCCCCCAGTGCCCGGCTACTCGTTATTAAAAAAAATTAAAATACAGATATCCCAAAGGAAGAAATAAGCCCCCAGACGCCCCCCTGCCCGCCCCTCCCGCCCCGCGTTGCTCCCTTGACACAAGGTAAACTTAAAAAAGGAGGCACCCCCCGCAGCAGAGCCCCTCGGGGACACCCCGGGGTGGGCAGCGCCGCGGGGGCCGTGCCGGGGGTCCTCAGAGGGTGCCGTGGCCGCGGGAGCCCAGGGCGAACCAGCCCATCTTCTCCTGCGCCAGGTCCAGGTCGCGCAGGCGGATGCCCACCTCCCCCAGCAGGATGTTCTCCCAGAAGCCCTCCTCGCTCAGCACGCTCAGCCGCAGCTCCCGCTGCTCCAGGTCCCCCCGGGGGATCCCGTCATACACCAGCTGTGGGGCACAGCGGGGCAGAGCCTCAGCCACGGCCCCCAACCCACCCTGGACCCCCAACCCCAGCCCCAGCCCACCTACCATCTCGTTGTAGGTGGGGTTGCAGGTTTTTCGGGCCACTTTGGTTTTCCTCTTGGTTGTTTTCTGCGGGTCGGGCAGCAGGTAGGTCTTGACGTAGGGGTCGGGGTCGTTGCCATCCTGCAAAAGGGGCTGCGGGCAGAGCGGGGGTGCCCCGTGAGCGCATCTTGGGGAGGGACCATCACCCTGCTCCCACCGGGCACCGGGCACCTACCAGCCCCCGGATGTGCATCACCATGATGAAGAGCTTGTTGTTCTTGTAGGAGATGGAGAGTTTCACCTCCCCGCCGACCTTCCCCAGGGAGCGAGCCCACGTGGCGTCTGGAGAGGAGGCGAGCAGGGGCGGGTGGGATGGCAGCCCCCCACCATCACCCCCTGCCACTGCCCCCACAGTTACCCCCCTCTCTACCTGCCGGCTTTGGGGTCGGGTTGGTGCCAGCTGCCTTCTCGTCCCGGGGCAGGGGGTGGAAGAAGGTGTAGATGAGGTCACACTGCAGGGGAGGAGGTGACATCAGCGGTGGCAGTGGCATCCCCGCGCTTCAGGGCACGGGACTCGCACCAATGTTTCCACGGCGCACTGTCCCACCTCGCTGGTGTCCTTGGCACTGCCCCCCCCTCCCCACAGCCCCCTGCCCCAGCTCCCCACCTCTGCCACCTCGGGGGCCGCGTGGATCAGGTGCCAGATGTAGCCGTTCAGCTCCTCCTTGCGCCGCTCGGCCACCGCCTCGCCCCGCGACCGCCTGATGACGAACCTGCTGGGGAAGCTGCAGGGACGGACCCTCAGCCGAGCCCAGGGGGCTGTGGGGGCTGTGGGGGACCTGGGAGGGGTGCAGGGGTACCTGGGCAGCAGCGAGGAGGGGAAGAGGAGGCGCAGCTTGTTGTGCAGCTCCTGGAACTCCTCGAAGGTGCGCTGCACGAAGGTCACCTCGCCCGGGCCCTCCCGCTGCACCTTCACCACGTAGGTCTGTGGAGAGACAGGGCTGTGAGGTGGGACCCCAGGGTGCCCTGGGTGCACCCTTTCACCTGCACCACCTGTCCCCACTCACGTAGCCCTTGCTGGGGTTGAAGACCCTCTCGTGGCGGCACAGGAAGACGTCGCGGATCCGGCCGGACGTCTTGAGGGTGTGCGTGCGGGGGGCGAAGGAGAGCGTGGGGCGGGCGTCCGAGCCCGTGAACTTCATCTGCGCCAGGTTGTGGATGAAGAAGTTGAGCTTGGTGGCCACGCTGCCCAGGCTGGACTCGATCAACCTGCCAACGAGGCCGCTGTGTGCTCAGCACGGAGCCGGTGCCGCTGCCCCTCCATCCGCTCCTGCCCCTCCGCCCACCCGTGTCCTCTACCTGGTGAAATAGGTGGTGGCGTCGGCATCAGAGTCCTGTGGCCTCAGGGCATCGTAGACGTACTTGAGGTCCTCCAGGTCGGAGAGCTCGGGGATGCCACAGGACAGCATCTGGGGGGCAAGGCAGGGGTGAGGGCAGGCGGAGGGGGGACCTCGGGAAGGGGGGGAAGCTGCAGTGGCCCCCCCCGGCTCTCACCAGCCCCAGCAGGTTGAGGAAGAGATGGGTGTGCTTGCGGATCAGGTTGTAGGCCTGGCAGCACAGGTCCACGAAGTCGTGGAAGCGGCTGGAGGGCTTGTCCCCGCCGTTGATGACGTAGGCCATGTCCGAGGTGAAGACAAACGGCGCCCGGTCCCTGCGCCGGGGAGAGGGGGGACAGAAAGTGAGCAGGGATGGGGGTCCCACACTGCCGGGACGGGGACAGGGCAGGTCACCCACCAGCAGGACGAGCAGAGGGGGCTTCACCCGCCAAACCCCCCCGCAGGGGTGAGCCCGGGCAGAGGGGGAGGAGGACCCCGAGGCGCCTCTCACCTCTTGATGTTGCCGAACATCTGCGCGTGGCCCAGGAACCGGCCGAAGTCGATGTGGAACATGTGGCCCGTGGTCTTGAGCATGATGTTGTCGTTGTGCCTGTCGCAGATCCCCAGCACGTAGGTGGCCACGCAGCAGCCGGCGCAGGAGTAGATGAAGTTTTCCACGGCCTGGGAGGGAGGGAAGGAGAAAGCGGGCATGGAGAAGGCCTGGACGCGACGGGAAGAGAGGGGTCTCATCCCTAGAGGGGGTGACATGAGCAGCAGGGACCCTGCCAGGCTCTTCCTCACCTTCTCATACTCGTCCTCCTCAGGGTTGTGTTTCTGCAGCCAGTCTGCCAGCGGCCGGTCCTTGAAGGAGCCCGTCACGCCGTGCTCCACCTGGATTTTGCGCAGGGTCTCGGCGTTGGGGATCATCTCCACCATGCCTGGCAGCCGGGACACAGGGTGAGACCCTTCCAACCCACCCGGGGGGCACCGAGACCCCAGCCCCACTTTGCCACCCACCCAGGCACCCCCCAGCCATCACCGCTGAGCGACAGCTCCTACGTGGGCCGGTGGGATCAGACCAAAGGTGGATCACAGGCACCCACAGGGCCTCCTGTGCCATCACCAGCCCCACGTGTGCCCCGGTGACCCCTGGCACGTCCTGTCCCCAGCTCACCTCGCCCACGGCCCGTGGAGAAGCAGCGGAAGATGACCATGCGCATGTCCAGCCCCTCCTGCACCCAGATCTTGTTCATGATCCGGATCATCTGCAGCGTCAGCATGTCCTGCCGCAGGTCATCGCCGCACTGCGAGCAGGGAGGAGCCATCAGAGACAGGGGAGAGCCGTCAGAGGCAGAGGGAGAGCCATCAGAGGCAGGGGGAGAGTCATCAGAGGCAGGGTCCAGTGGGGGACGGAGCTCAGGGGATTGGGGTGGTCGTGCCGGGGGTCTGGGCATCACCAAAGGTGCCAGGCTCACCTTGAAGATGACTCGGATGTTCTCCCCCAGGGGATCCACGTTCTGGAAGGAGAGCTTGAGCGGGACGGCGTTGGAGTTGAAGTAGGAGCAGTCCTGCCATGGGAGGAAGGCACAGCCCGTCAGGGCGAGCTGGGAGAGGGCAGGGGAGCCCCCTGGTGCCCTCCTGGGTCCGGCACTCACCCGGGGCACGATGCCCTTCACCAGCAGGCTGGGGCTGAGCGGCAGCCGGCATGACCCGTGAGCCTTGAAGAACTGCTTGACGTCCTCCAGCCCCTCGCGGAGGATGCCCTGTGGGGCGGGGGTGGGCATGGGATGGGTGGGCATGGGATGGGGGGCTGATACCCAGCCTGGCACCCCCTCCCAGCACCGCTGGCACCCACCTGGCGGGCGGAGGGGGCGG